GTTTACAGTTGAATTAATACAGTTATACAATATTGTACTCAGTATAAACCCTATAATACAGAAAATTGAATGAGGTTTTAACTTTTAAAACAGATCCCATTTCATTACTAAAATACAGTTTCATACAGAAAAATTCATTTTTAATATAATTGACACTAAGATACACATGCATTTTTAATCTCTCTATATATGATTATTACTAGTTATAGTCAGTTACTTTCTGAGCTCCTTGGCTTCTGAGCATGGATATAAAGTCATGAGGTAGATTTCAGGTGTAATGTTTTTCACATCTACTAACTATTAAGGAGCAAATATTTATGCTTTGAAAAATTATTATTGTTATCATTATTTATTTTTTTATACCCACTACCCAGATAGCACCCTCCCATAGCCTCCCTCCCCCCACTAGAGCCCTTATACTCTGATATCCCTGCTACTGTCTGCTGTGTTTTTGGCACCCCCAGCCATTCCCCACTACTTGCCCTTCTGGTGAATCTAGTCAGCCTATCTAGAGGTCTTTGTTTTAGGACACTCAGCTGTTCCTCATCTAGTGGTAATCAGTTGTCAATATTCCTTTGGATAAGATTGGTGTCTGCAGTTCATTTTCCCAGTTCTGTGCTGGGTTATTATCTGGGAATCTCTTTGGCCACCCTGGCCTACAGCTCAAAAGAAGGTATTGCCTGTCTTGAATTGCTGCTTGTTATGTAGCCTTTAGTTATGCATATGGCCTCTTAAGCTGTTCCTCATCTAGTGGTAATCAGTTGTCAATATTCCTTTGGATAAGATTGGTGTCTGCAGTTCATTTTCCCAGTTCTGTGCTGGGTTATTATCTGGGAATCTCTTTGGCCACCCTGGCCTACAGCTCAAAAGAAGGTATTGCCTGTCTTGAATTGCTGCTTGTTATGTAGCCTTTAGTTATGCATATGGCCTCTTAAGAAGTTATATTGGCCCCTTTAATCTTTGGTTATACTTTCTTTTTGGGTGTTTAAGGTGATACAGTTGGCCCAGATAAACCAATTTATTTTACTCTTAAGGTCATTTGAGGATCTGTTCCTCAGGGGTCACATGGGCTTGGAA